GTCACGGTGGCGGTGAGGTAAGGAGCCGAAATCTATATACCGACGCCTTTGTCTGGCATCAGCCTGAATCTCGCACAGGAAAGCGGATCCTGGTGTATACGTGATCCTGGTGTATACATTCTTCGTTGTTTCCCCGGGAAAACGGAGAAAAAAGTATACACCACACCACCCTGACGTCGTCCCCGACCTTCAGAAAAGTCCTGGGATTGAAAAACCGCCCGCCACTGGTAATGTATATGCTCCTGTTTCCGATGAGGGGCCACCCCGTGGCGAGCGGTAACAACCGCCCGAATTCCAGCCCCGGGTGTGCGACCTGTCCCCTCGTTTCGTCGCGAACCCCCTTGGGACTTGCCGTGAGCCCGGCACCCGTTACACGTGCCCTGCCACGGTGACGGTACTTTGTGTTCCCCGAGGCTACCGGCGACGACTGGTCTCACGTGACGGCGTCGGAATCTCAAGTGGCACACTGGGCCTGTCAACGCTCCCTGGGGCCCCCCCCCTCTCCTGCCTCCGGTTCCCTCGTGCCACGGCCGGACTGTGGGAGGGCAGGCTTGGTGGCTCGGGCTGCCTGAAGTGGTGTGGTGTGCTCCTGACATCGATGCTGCACAGTGCGCTCGCTCTGCTATTTTTCCTCTTGATCTCTATTCCTAGTTTGGGCTTCAACCTTTTGCCCTCAATGCATGAATGCGCGAATGCATGAATGAATTAATGAGGGTGAGGAGCAGAATGAGGAAGGGGGAAGGCGCGCAAGACAAGGAGGCGGGGGGAGAAGTGGGGCGACACGGAAGACGAGGAGGACAGCCAACGAGGGGACGAGGAGGAGAAGGCAAGACGATGAGGGAGGAGGCGGGCCGGTCCTGCGCGGCGGCCAGGTCCTCCTGCGAATGGCGGGAAGGGGGGGTGGGCTCCGACGGCAGGTTCCATCCTCTCCCACCTCGCCGTCCACCTGCTGCTGCCATTGCGTGCCTCCAAGAGGAGCGGAAGGAGGGGGAGGGGGCGAGGAGGAGGAGGAGGAGGAGGAGGAGGCCTGGGCATAGGGGGGGAGGCGGTGGAGGGTTGGGCAGGAGCAGGAGACTGGAGAGCAGAAGGGGAGGGGGAGGGGCATAGGAGAAGAAGGGGCGGCATAGATGGCTCGAATTTGGCATCTTTGTACCCACCTTCTACTGCTGCTGCTTATGCTGCTGCCAAGCCTCCGCCTCCTCCTCATCCCAAATCCTCCTCATCTCTCCCACTCATCTCCATCGAACCTCCTCCCTCCTGTTCACTTGTCCTCCTGGCTCAACCTCGTCTTGGTCACCCTCCTCCTTCTCATCCTCCTCCTGGTGCTCCTCCCTCAACTTCCTGCACTCCCCCTCCTTTTCCCCGCTCCTCCCGTCCACCTTCACATCCATCCCCGCCTCGTCCTTCTACCTCCTTCTCGTTAACCTGCTCCTCCTCCTCCTCCTCCTCCTCCTCCTCCTCCTCCTCCTCCTCCTCCTCCTCCTCCCCCGTTCATGTCCCCTTCTCGCCCTCCAACTACTCCCTCTCCTCCTCCTCGTGCCGCCTCATACGCCGTCATTCCCGCCTTCCCACGCCTCCTCCCTCACCATCCTCTTCTTTCCGACTCATCATTCGTCCTCCTCCGTCGTTCCTGTTCATCGTACCTTTCTTCCTCCTTCTTCGCCTCCTCATCGCCCCTCCTTCTCCCCCCGCGCTCCCCTAGGATGTTCCTACTTCCTCCTCCTTTCTTCTCCCTCCTCCAGGAGGGAGGAGGAGGAGGAGGAGGAGGAGGAGGAGGAGGAGGAGGAGGAGGAGGAGAGGAGGAGGAGGAGGAGGAGGAGGATGAGGAAGAAGACAATGAGAAGGAGGAGGAGGAGGAGGAGAAGGAGAAGGAGAAGGAGGAGGAGGAAGAGGAGGAGGAGGAGGAGAAGGAGGAGGAGCAGCGTCTACCCCAGCCCGTCTCCGAAACTGCAGCCCCAGCTCGCCCCAGGCCTTTGCCTGCGGCCGCGAGCCTCGGCGGACTGCACCATGGTTCGTCGGCATCGTCCGCAGCAGCATTCCTCACATGCGCTGTTTCACTGCACGGGATCCATGCCGTCCCAGTGCTCCTCCCGAAGCGCCTCACTCTCACACGACCTCGCTTCCTCTGCATCTCCTCGTTCAGGTCGTCCTTCGGCTGCCGCTCCTCCATGAGGGGTGGCGCCGTCGCGGTCCCGCCGTCCACCGCTCCTGGGGGACCAGCTGGGGCATGGGCGGCTGCCGCGGGTCGCCGACGTCGAGGTCCCACAACCGCTTCCCCACCTCTCGCAGCGTGGCCTCTTGCCGGATGGCGTGAAGGACGCCCTCGGAGTAAGCGTCACGCGAGTCCACGGCTTATCCATGGGGCCGGCCTCGCAGAGCCGCAGGAGCAGCAAGGGGCAGCCGCGCGACTCGCCACGCTGGTGTGCTGCGTCGCATTCTCCACGGCAGCCAGCCGAGATCTCCAGCTCGCTCGTGCGATTCTGCACATCTGTCACGGCCATGCGCAGCTCCGCAAGTTGCCCCTCCACGAGCAACAAGCGGCTCGGTTTGGCGGCCATCCCGTTCACGACTCGGCGCGCTTGTCCATCTCATTGCGATGCAGGCCCATCTCGCGCTGCACCGAGCGCTCAAAATAATTCATGCGCGTGCCCTGGTGCTCGATGAGCCGCAAGGTCCGTAACATGCTCTGCTCCACGCTCCACACCAGCTCCTTCATCTACTCCTTCACCTGCTCCTAGCAGTCCGCAGGCTACGCGGGCACGACGAAGGGCGCCCTTCCGTCAGCACCTGCCTCGCCCGTCTACTGTCGCATCGGAGCTATCGCGCGTCCTGCAGGGAGGCGCCGTTGCGATGCGGGTTACGCTGAGGCCCCGCAGCGCCGGGGACTTGCACAGCAGCTCGCTCCAGACTGCCACTGGGGATCCCGATCCTCAAATTCTGGGTTCTGCCAACTTCTGCCACTGGTGCCGCTCGCCATCCTTCCGTAACAGCCACCCCTCGCGGCTGACCTCCACGCGCGCCAGCGCGGCCGCGGCTCTCCTCGACCACACCCGCAGTCGTCCCTGGCAAGCTCGCTTCAGCACCAGCCACATTCGCAGCAGCGGGTCCGTGGTCGCTGTCTTCCCCAGCCGAGCCGCTGCCACGCAAGACGACCTCGCAGTGGGGGGCCACGATCGCCGCGGACCGCTGGGGCGAGAGCCGATTTTTAGCGAAAAGCGTTCCCACGCGTGGCAAGTCATCCTGGACGCACTCCAGGAAGGCCGAGACCACAGTACAGTCTGCTTCCAGGGCGCCTTCCGCAGGTGGTGCGAGAAGCGGACGGTGACGAGCCCGCAGCGCTCGCCTGGAGACCCGGCGGGCCGCAGTGGCAGCAGGGGCCGCATCAGCAGTGCCACCCGCGCCCAAGAAGCTGCAGACCTGGTAGCCTGGCAGGGCCCACTGCACGACTGGAGCTCGAAGAGCCCATCGCCTGACTGAAGCCCAGGCTGCAGGTGGAGAGCGCGCTCGAAGGCTCGGACTTTGCATCCGTCGAGCACGATCGGCAGCCGCCCGTGAGGAGACGACCAGGGCCCGCGCCCCCCGAGGCAGCACGACCAACTTATAGGTGCCTGGGCGCGCGCAGCGGCAGAGACCGAGCCGTGCGGCTCGCGGACAAGGCCCGGGGCCAACGCCTGCGGCTTGTCCGAGGCGCCCTCGGCCTCCTCCTCCTCCTCCTTCTCCTCCTCCTCCTCCTCCTCCTCCTCCTCTGCCCTCCTCCTCCTCCTCCTCCTCCTCCTCCTCTGCCCTCCTCCTCCTCCTCTGCCCTCCTCCTCCTCCCAGTCAGCGCCTTGACCTAGTTTGAGGAGGCGGCGGCGTTTTGCATCGGCAGTTTGTCAGTGTGCGCCGCGCGCACGCGGGGCCGATGTCGCGCGCTCAGCTTCCATATCACACCATCGGCAACAAGACGCTGCCGCCGTCATCACTAGGCGCCCTGCAAGCTCAGCCACCACAAGACGAAGAAACAAATGCGGCAGCGCCATGGGAGCATCGCAGCGGCCACGCGCACGGCCGACGTCCGAACCACTGACTTGAGCCAAAACGGCTACGGAGGAGGAGGGTGGTGCAGCGCCAACAGGCGTCCAAATTCACAACCCCCGAGGACGCGCGGGAGGACAAGCGGGAAGCGCACATAGGAAAGGAAGGATGGCCAAGGCTCCTGTTGGAGCTCACGGAGGTCAGCCGAAATTTCCGACAACGCCAGCATAGGATGAAGCCCATCCTCGCCAAGTCCACGCCAATGTTCGCCAATATTTGCCATCCCCCGCTAGGTTCCGTTGCTGTCCCTGTGCCCATCCCCACCAAACCCATCCTTGCCGCTCCACGCTAACATCCGCCAAATCCTCACCAGCCCGCGCGAGTTTCCGTTGGTGCCCCGCTATGCCCATCACCTCCGAATCTGAACGCCATCAACGCCGATCCACACCTATGACCTCTAACCATCCAAGCCTCGCCAGCCCACGCCGCTTTCCGCTGGAGTCCATCGTGTTCTGGCCGCTCCACGCAGCCCCACTCGATCACTGCACGCTTACTGCTCGCGGCTTAGCCGCGCTCTGAAAGCGCTGGTGGTCGCAGCACATCTCTCGAACGCGGTGCTCCCCCCCCCATCCCTCCCCCTCCCCCATCCTACTCATCGCCCTCCTCATCGCCGACCCCATCCTGCTCCCATCCTCCTGACCTGCGTCCTCCGCCACCCCTCCCCTGCTTCCGCACAATCCTGGCCCTCCTCACCCACCTCCGTCGTCCTCCCTCCCCCCCCTTCTGCAGCCTTCCCTTCCCCCCCCCCCCCCCCCCCCAGCCCGGCCACCCCCCCTATCCTTCCCCTCCCTCCTCCCCCCCCCCTTGGAGGGCGAAGGGGGGAGGGATCGGGTGGGGGGGGGAGCAACAGCCGATGCTTCTGTTGTCAAAGTCCCACGGCGAACAACGCCACTGGCCGCCCCACCCTCGCCCGTCGCGTGCCGCGCCGCCCGCTCCTGAGCCTGCTGCGCGTCTCGGCTCTGCTCGCCGAGGTGGTGGTTCGCCTTGGGAGGCGGCGGTGGCGACGACGACTGCGGACGGCGACGACGGCGGCGGCGATGATTGCGACGAGGCGCCTCTTCTCCTCCTCCTCCTCCTCCTCCTCCTCCTCCTCCTCCTCCTCATCCTCATCCTCCTCCTCATCCTCTTCCTCCTCACCCTCCTCCTCCTCCTCCTCCTCCTCCTCCTCCTCCTCATCCTCATCCTCATCATCATCATCATCATCATCATCATCATCATCATCTCATCATCATCATCATCATCATCATCAAAATCAGCATGAGCATTACCATCAGCATCACCATCATCATCAACATCATCATCATCAGCATCAACAGCATCATCATCATCAGCACAGCCATCACCATCGCCATCAGCATCAGCATCATCATCATCATAATCAGCATGATGATCATCATCATCATCATCATCATCATCATCATCATCATCATGACCATTACCATCACCATCACCATCACCATCATCATCATCAGCATCATTTTCATCATCATCATCATCATCATCATCATCATCATCAGCAGCAGCATCATCATCATCAGCATCATCATCATAATCATCGAAAGCATCAGCATCATCATGCTGCTGCTTCACCCCCCTCCTCCGTCCCTCCCCCCTCCTTGTCGTCGTCCTCCTCCTCCTCCTCTCCCTCCTCCTCCTCCCCATCCCCTTTCCATCCGTCTTTTCTTTCCATACTTATCCTCCTCCTCCCCAACCCCACCATTCCCAATTTTTCATAAACCTTGCCCTCCCCATCGCACCACTCGACGAGCCGTTAGGGTGGGCCCGGCGTGTCGACAACACGTCATACATCCAAATAGTGTGCAAAGACTGCACAGATGGACGGAGGGCGTTCCTTTTCAGCGCGGAACTCCCGTTCGAGGCGCCTTCCTGGATATGTAGCCAGAAGCGTAAACGTGTCAAATCGATCGACGGTGGAGTTCAGCTCTTGTTGAGATCGGGGCTGTCGCCGGACACGTCCCTGAACTTCGTGACGTCACCTCGCTGCAGGGCTTGCAGCTCGTTGGCTGAGAGCCAACTGCTGCCAAAACGGAGCTCCACCCTGAACTGCGGGCCCACGGTGCGCTCGTATTTTCGAGCAGGGCGCTGCTCGCAGTGGGGAGGCGCGTTTGTGGGGACCACGAAAGAGGGACTTGGGACGGGAGGGCTTGACTGCAGCAGCGCAGGCACATCTTGGCTTACTCTGGTCCCCCTCCTTCTCCTCCTCCTCCCCCTCCTCCTCCTCGTCCTCCTCCCCCTCCCCCTCCTCCTCCTCGTCCTCCTCCTCCTCCCCCTCCTCCTCCTCCTCCTCCTCTTTGTCCTGCCCCCCCTCCTCCCGTCCCCTCCTCCTTCCATTCCGACCCCATCGCCACCATCCTCATCCACTTCCTTTGGATTTTGAGTGCAAGGCCTTAGCATTGAAATCCTCCGCATCGTTCTGTCCTACTCCGCAGCATCCACTAATTCCGTGCGCACATCAATCAGCCTCCCTTCCTCATCCACCCTGCGTCAGCCTTATCATTACCCTCCTCCATCTCCTCTACACGCACATACATATTTACATATATATATATATATGCTAGAACCATCGCGCGCGGTTCGCGCGCGCTCAGGTTCTAGCAAGCCCCAGGCCTTGACGAATTGACTGCTCCACTGAAGTAGTAGACCACAGTCCATGCATGCCAATCCGCATTCCGAGAGGCTTTCGGGGAACATGGTTGCGTAGGGGGGCGGAGGCTGGATGAATCGGGTTCCCAGAAGGCCTTCTGGGAGCATGGGTTTTGGGGGCGTCTTGGGGAGCCTGCTGGGGCGTGCCGTCGTCGTCGTCGTCGTCGTCGTCGTCGTCGTCGTCGTCGTCGTCGTCGTCGTCGTCGTAATGTCGTCGCCTCTTCGGGCGCGCCGTCGCCGTCGTCGTCGTCGTCGTCGTCGTCGTCGTCGTCGTCGTCGTCGTCGTCGTCGTCGTCCTCTTCTTCGTCGTTTCGTCGTCGTCGTCGTCGTCGTCGTCGGCTCAAGAGGGCAATTCGGGCAACTTTGTGCGAAACGATCTGCGGAGGGCAGCGAGAAGGCGATCAGTCATGTTCCCAGTCAACTTTCAAGACAACTCTCCTGTAGCATGATGGTACTTCGAAACCTCTGGAGACTCGCGGGCCCATGATGAACCATGTCCCCGGAAGGCTTTCTGGCGACATGGTTTGTTGGGGTGTGTTGGGGGCCTCTTGGGCGTTCCCTGGGGGCCCCTTATAGGAGCCTCCGGGAACTCTCGGACCCATGATGAACCTTGTCCCCAGCTTTCTGGGGACATGATTTCTTGGGGTGTGTTGGGGGGCCTCTGGGGCGTTCCCTGGGAGCCCCTTGGGAGTCTCTTGCAAGAGACTCCCAAGAGGCTCCCAGGGGGCCTCTTGGGCGCGTCACGGGGCTTCGTGGGAGCCT